TTTTGAACATCAATTAATGTATATCATCGCTGGTGGAGGTAAATGAGGAGTGAGTGGTGCAAGTCGACAATTACAGGCCCATCATCAAGGAAAGTGGGTGATCTGCGTAAAGACATCTACTCAAGTAGTCATTTTAATTTAATCACCCAAAAAATGTATTCTTTATAAGAATTTTCGGACAACAAGAGTAGTTTTAAAGATAATTCTTGTTATATTTTCAGTCGATCTCTTTACAATCGCCATTCGCATCAAAGGCAAGGGCAAATTGGAAATTGGACACTTTAAGAAGAAAACTACCGATATGTCCTTCCGCATTAACAAATCCATCTAACCAGGTAAATTGAGTGTCACAAATTCCCAGGCAAAAGTGCTCTCAAGCCTTGTCATCTGTTGGGACAGACGAAAATCTCTTAAGGCAGGAGGACTTTTGGGATGAGCGTGTGTTGACAGCGAATTGTTACACTTTGACATTCGAATTATTGATGACCATCCGACAACGTGGTAAGTACATTTTCTGCGTTAAATATTTGTACCTCTGTTATGAGAAGCCCTTGCTTTGCCATCGAAATAATCACTTACTTCGTCATGGCATAGAAAAGTTGCGTCTCCTTCCAACTGTTATTAAAGTCCTCATCTCTTCAGCAAATGCCTATCCACAATTCCTCCGATGAAAAGGTTGAGCACACTTGGTCTGACATTATTAACAAAAGTACACATCAATTAGCCGTGCAGACAACCAATCAGCGTCAAGGTGGGGACAGAGCCAATCACGACGAGGCTGCGATGTGTTTCTCACTTCCACCACATCTGACTCAATTGCCCTCACATCTCCACATTCGCAATATTGTGACAGCTGCGCTTTACTCTGTGACCATGAGTGCCATATGACAACGAGATAAACGAATCCACTCATGTGCACTCTATTGAATGCTCCTTCAGGCACGGCAATGGACAGCTCTTTGCCATCGCTCGCCTCTTCCCTCCAATCCTCTGAGTCTGAAGTATTGCGTGTCCTTAACGTGGCGCACATAAGGCGCTCCTCGTCATCAGTGTCTCGGTGTGGCAGATGGCAATGAGGCTTGTGGAATCCGTGTGAGGACAGCATTCACGACTACTCATGTCCATCCCACCAAAGTGAGCAGCATCCGTCCTGCTTGCAGCATGGCCAAGTCTTAACTGCCCTGTCAGAACATACGAGTACGTGATAGTCTGAATGACTTTCCAAAATGAGTTTACTGTGTTGGGTTGGCGTGCTATGAGCTGAAAATGGAGAGTCAAGAGGTGTCCCGACTTCCCAGCTCATAAGCAGCTCAACTGCTCAACCGTTCTGTAGAGCTGCAGGCCTTTGTCGCACAAAACACACTTCGACCATTGTTACTAAGAGTATGTAGGAATGACATTCAACAACGTGATTGCTAAATTGTTGGTTAGCCAATGTCACCGAAGGCGTTTGCACCGTGACCATGAGGCGTTGAATAGAATGCAATCACTTCGACCAAAATACGAACGACAGAATGAGCACGGAGAAATTGTGGATAGGCATTTGCTGAAGAGATGATGACTTTGATAACAGTTGGGAGGAGACGCAACTTTTCTATGCCACGACGAAGTAAGTGATTATTTTGATGGCAAGGAAAAATAGTTGGATTCGATCTCTTCTTGACGAATTTACAGGACAATTTTTACTGGTTGATATGTATGCAGATGTAGAAGTTGTTGGAAATAATACACACGCAAATTTTGCTACTTTCATTCAATGGCTTGTGTAGCACCCAGAGAGGATGGCAGAGGAGTACATCAACGAATGCCTTGACTCAACGACCTTCTAGACTTGACAACTAATGTCAAAACTACTTTAAGTAATATGAAAATTAAATCCTTACCTTTGAACTGTCCGCTGCTCTCACTGGTCGCAATTGCCTTTTCTTTTTTAACGGACCTGTACTGTCGTAACCTAGTCCGACTATTCCAGCTGCAGCCAATGCCAACTACTGTTAAAAGATCGCTCAACACAATTACGTTTTGTCAAGTGAAGGCTTCTTTATTTTGTTTACTAAATGCAAGTCTCCCAATGCTGATCCCATAATCAGTAGACGGTTAAACAAGCAAGTGCACAGGTGGATGGGGCGGAGAACGACTAGTCGGAAGGAATTGAAGTAACAGAGAAGAGAGTCAAGTAAATGAATAAATAGATAGGTGGACTATCTTATTTTAAAAAAAGTGCAGAAACTTAGGATTTACGGATAGAAATATATCACAAGGAGAGGGTGAGATGGCGTGGCCACTCCGTGACATGATGACGTCGCAACGAGCCTTCAAAGAGACGATCGAACCACGTAGGCAGACCAGCCAGAACTTCGTGTTCCAGTAGCGGTGTTAGGGGAACCGTAACATCAGTTTCAGACTCATACTCACTCTCCTCGTCTGACGAGCGATTCAGACCCAAAAGTTTACTGAAATTGGCTACACGGCGCGACTCTTTGGAAGAATTCGAAGTCGCATGACGTCGTCTCACTTCGCAACCCTCATCCTCGTTTTCAACCTCATAGTCTGATCCCTAAATGACGATGGAGGCAACACATGACTGGGCAATCAGTTTCAACTGATTCCAATGTTGATAAAAAAAGTGAGTGCAAGCGTAGTAAATGATATTTTCGTTCTGCTATAATAGGGGAAAAGACAACATACTAATTCACTTTAGCTACCTGTGACTCAAAAAAAAACATCAGTACAAATTCTCAATGAATCTGCCTTTCGGATTAAAGTCCTGGGCGGTCAAA